GATGCGACCTGTTTGCTCCCCCTCGCCCGCTGTCTCCCTGCCCGTCGCGTGACCTCGCTTTCCGCCTGCACCACCCCAACCTAAAGTCCTACTGAAGGAGCTAGGAAGCCCCCCCTTTTTAAATCAGAGACAGTAAGATTCCATGCACAGAAACTCTAAGATGGGAAAGGCCTTCTAGGGAGATGGGAGTCTCTTACTGGGAAATTCTGAAAATTCAAATGGGGGAGATGAAAGCTAAAAGGGCCGGCGCTGCCTCCCAGACACCTGAAGGGGGGGACCCAGAGGGTGCGGGCGCAGGCGCAGGACGGCCGGGCGGGCTGCCGAGCAGCAGTGGGGACTGGGCACAGCCTGACCAGGGAGGGCGCTGGAAGCTGTGCTCTTAGGGAGGCAGGCGAGGGGAGGCAGGCTGCCGCTGGAGCCGAGAGGGGACGGCAGGGAGGCCGCAGAGGAGGGCGGGCGGCTCTGTTTCTCTTGGCTCATTCCCTGCTGGGCAGAGGGAGCTGGGCTGGGAGAGGCCGTGAGGATGTTGGGGTGCTGGGTGAGGGGCGGGAGCCATGGCACTTCGTCCTGGCTCTGGCTGAGATGAAGAACTCCTAGGTGGTCTCCCTGCACAGTCTGGGCACAGGCTGTGAAGGGTCCGGAAAAATTCAGAGGGGCCAGGAGCATGGAGCAGGACCAAATTCTGTTTTTAATAATGAATAATGAATATTACTATTAATGGTGAGCAAAATTGGAGAGGAAAGCATTCAACATATGGTTCAAAAGCACTTTTCTTTTCAGAAAAGAAAACGGTGATCCTTGGGTGCCCCCAGGCGGGCTAGCCATTCTCTCGCCGGGACACTGGTGGGTCAGGAGGCTGCCACCAATACTAACACTTCCTTCACTCATCAGATGCCTCCAGTGTGTCTCCAGACATTTTCGTATAATATCCACAATTTTTATTTTACTGTTGGCTAAGTGAAGCTCAGGGTGGTTAAGTGACTTGCCCAGTGCCACACAGCTAGTAAGTGACAGAGCTGGGGTTTGAACCCTGGACTGTTTGTCTTCAAAGCTTAAACCATTGCCACCATACCCTACTGATTCATGGGGTAGTCTAGAGCTCATGCATTCATTCCTTTGTTCAGTAGCTATTTTTTGTTGTTGTTAATTCTCACCTGAGGACATTTTCCCCATTGATTTTTAGAGAGAGTGTAAGGGAGAGATGGATGGGGGGGAGAGAGAATTACAGAGAGAGAAATAGCAGTGTGAGAGAGACGCATCACTTGGGTGCCTCCCTGACCGGAGATCAAACCTTCAGCCCCGGTACGTGCCATTGACAGGCATTCAAACCCTCGACCCTTCAGTGTGCAGGCCGATGCTTTAACCACTGAGCCCCACTGGCCAGGGCCCTTCAGTGGCTATTTTTGAGGTACTGTGTGCAAGGCACTGTGCCAGATGCTGTAGGAACTTATGGAAGGAATGACCGTCTGCCCTTGAGTGGAAGATGTGCACACAGAGCAATGGGACAGGGGAGAGGGGTCAGGGCAGCAGGGAGGTGTGGCAGGACGCGGGAGGGGGCACTCAGAGGGAGCAGTGCGCTGGAAGGGGCCCTGGCCACAGAGATGTTCGTGGTAGGCCTTGCAAAACGGATATAATTCAATCCCTGAGGAGGGTGGAAAGAAGGGTGCTCCTGATGGGGGACCCAGTGAGAGAAAAGGCAGAAAGCCTGGGCAGTGGTGGTGCCTGGAGACAAGGCATTTTGTTTGTTAGGGCGGGTGGCGGATGGAAGGGATAAAACCCTGCTGAGGGGGTGGGGCCAGGTGCTTGGGGACCTGGGAGTCCAGGTCAAGATTGGCTTCTTCTGACTGCAGGGAGATGGCAAGGGCTTGCAGGGCCTGGCACAGAGACCTTCAGAAGAAAGGGCCTGGCCATGGTGGGCGGAGGGACAGTGTGCGGAGCGGCCCAGGGAGCCCGAGGAGGTCCCGTGTGTGCGCGGAGAGGGAGGGAGGGCTGGTCACCTCCTGGGCACAGTCCTGGGCTTTCACAGGTGGCTGGCTCCCTCTGCCTGGACCATCTCCTCCCTCCTTCCCTGCTCATCCGTCTTGGTCTCAGCTTCCATGACACCTCCAACGAGCCGTCCCTGACCCCTAGGAGGAGCCTCCCTACGTTTAATCACTCCCATCCTATTATTTACCACATCGTAGCACAGTCGCTGTTCAAAACAAAATTCCCTGAACCACCCAGGTTTTCTGAGAGCAGGACCGTGGGAAACTGTACCCTCTGCTGGCCTGACAGCCTGGTACCCGGCAGTTCTCAGTGAAGAACAGACTATGGTCAGGAAGTAGGCATGGGCTGTGTTGACTGCACCTCAGGCCTAGGCAGAGACCAACGGTAGGTAGATAGGCCCAGCTCAGCAGAGGTCTTCAGCGCTGCGCCAGGGGCTCTGCCGGTCATTGCTGTTAAGATCTGGAGGACGGTAGGATGATACACTTACAGATTTCCAGGAGCCTGGTGAGCACTGTGGAGCACAAACTCAGGATCTTGAAGGACCCTCATAGGCTGGACGGTCTGTAGGACAAATTGATGAGGGCGTGTCAAGTCCTTTGTGATGGCCTCTGGCTCCACGAACCCAGGGCGAGGCTGAAATGCAGTTTAGCAACAGCAGCTATGAAAAAGCCGTTGGATTTTCATGAGCAGAAGGCTGGGTGTGAGGTGGTGGCCAGCCTCCCCGGGGGCCCGGCGCAGCACTGAGATGGGATGAAGGTGCACTGGAGCGTGCTCTGCCAGGGCAGGGGCTGGCGGTGCCCCTAGAGGCTGTCCCACCTAACCTTTCCTCCTCCTGCCGCCTCCTGCCCC